CTGTGTGTTTGTGTGTGTGTATTCAGCGGAGGTCAGTTTAGGTCAGTCGGGCTCGTGTCCTAAGAGAGTTGTTTTGATCAAAGTCCACGACTGGACTGCAGAGAAACCCAGAGACCTCAGACTGCTCTGTCTCTCTCTCTGTCTGTTTCGGTCCGTCTGGTTCTCTCTGTCTGTCCATCTTTCTCCTGCTGTCTCTGTCTCTTTGTCTGTCTCTCACTCTGTCTCTCTCTTTTTCTCCGTCTCTGCTGTAATGTTATAACAAATACAGTTCATGTCCTGACACTGCTTTACAGTGAAATTCTACAAATGAATCAACAACAGAAAGATTTAATATGAGCACAATTGACAGGACGGTGCCTGTTGTATGTACATAATAAGAAACTATATATACCTAATATTTAAAATCAATCAAAATGGAAAAGAGGACAAGAAACTGATTGAAGCTTTCAGTTTCAGCCATGTGGTATATCAGCCTGTTCTCATCCCGAACTCATCAAATACTGCTGCTTTGTCACTGATCTGGGTGTTAAAGACCGACGCACAAAGGCGCCTTTTGCAGCGGTATAATACACACCGTGCAGTGGCAGTATTTGGCGCATTATTGAGCAAACCAGTGCCATCAAATATGTCCACCAAACCCCGGACTTTCACCTGTGAGCCCACTGTTCACTTCCCATGTGAATGTTAAGTCAAACCATGATGGTTTTTTTACCAAACCTAACCACGATCTTTTGTTGCACAAGGAAATAAATGTTAATTCGAACATTTCCTGTGAAAATGGTGGTGTATTTTGAAGAAGCAATGCATGTAGCAAGTATCAATTGACACAGCGTCCCGAAACGCCAACAACAGGCAAAGGAGGATACCTAGCACCTCATATGTAGACGTGAACATCCACACACAAAGCAGCGATATTTGACGAGTGGGGTGGGAACGCTTTGGGTGTATTACCCCCAAAATATGGCCGTCGTATCATTCTTGGTATCATGTATCGTTTTAAAGAAAGAAAACCTTTCCAGTTGGTTACATCAGCATATGATTTGGTCAAACCCCTTTTCTATTATTAGTCGTTATTACTACTCTGTCTGCCGTCACCACTCTGTGGCCTTGCTTAATGTCCCAGCCGCAATCTGATTGGTTACACATCACAAGAAATAGCCTATCAACACTGAAGGCTGCAGTGCCACAGACTGGCCAACAGGCTGGAGCTGCCGTAGCCCGGAAGATATTCTTAAGTTTTAGTAAACATCACAATCCTCAACACTGAAGTTGCAAAAACTACCCAGTGCGTTCTGCTGTTAGTCATAGTAGTTGGCCTAACTTCAGTTTTATGAGTGCAAAAACTGCAAGGTAATTTGCAGGAGGGAGCAAGACGGAGTGTGGACACAACGAGAGATGCAACTAGATGATTGTAGTTTTATAAAAGAGATTTGCAGCAAACAAATCAGATTGTTAAAAAAAACAACTAAGTAGCTGTGCTGGTCGTCTCTCAGGCCTCAACATGTTTTGCAATGGCTGTTTTTCCCGAGTAAATATTGAACTTTTTTCGTCTCAGAGTGAGTCTGAACTTGTGTCTACAAGTGTATCAGTGTGGCAGAAAGTGTTGCTCTTCCTCCACCTCTTGTTGTTGGGTTGCCAGGTTGGTTTGTGTCACCCAGTTGTGGTCACTTGTCTCTGGCTATAATTTGGTCGGTGTTTAGGCTGTGCTGAGTCTGTGTACCGTCACTCCTCCTCTCTGTGTACTGTGTGCTCCCGTCTTTCTATCAGTCCGTCCGTTCATCCATCCCTCCATCCGTCCCCGTGGCTAACAAACAGAGGAGCGGCATTCCAGCAGTGCCCCCTGTCAAAGCATCTGTATTGTGGCGTGCTGCTCACATTGTTGTGTCAGACAAAGCCTCGCTCTCAGTGGAATAACCCAGCTGGATGGCGGCCATCGCCGGGGTCACTCGGAGCCACCAGGCCGCAACCAAAACAGCCAACCTGACAGCCCAGGCCCAGCCATGATAGCAGGGCAGGGAAAGAACTTTGTGTGTGTGCTGGCAGCGAGCTGAATCCAAAGTTCACTGGCCACGCTCACTTATTTACCAGGAAAACAGTTTTTTCTTTTTTATTACAGCAAATAGTTTGAGCCAAGTCGCCGCCTCGGTCAGAGACATCTTACATCTGTGCTGCTTCTTTTAAAAGCTTTGACGGTGAATGTCCGTTGGTAAAAACAAACTACTCTTGATTTTACTATGATTATAATATATGAGGCTCGTTTCCATAATCCTCCAAGAAATTAGTTTGGGGTTGTGTACATACCTGTAAACAAACACGTTCACCAGTGTGGCTGAAGAACTTTCATTTTTCTGGTTTTGCAAATTAAACAGTGGGCTTTAAAAACATTTCACAAAACCCCCCGGGGTCACGTATGGCCGCGTAACCCCTCAGAAAATCCCCCGAAAGTGGGAGAGGTGAGGTTTTGCTTCCCTGCAGTGCTGTTCGGAAGGCCGAGTCCAAAGCCAGACAGATCCCAGTCAAAATTAGTCAGCAGCACTTGGCTTCAAAATGTCCAAAACAACTAATATTACCAGTCCAAAACCACTGTCAGTGAACCGGCCACATTCCAGTTACTCTGTCTGTGTGTGTGTCCGTGTGAGTGTGTGGGGGGGGGGTCACAGCAGGCAAATAGAAAACAACAGTTTTTTCCACTGGATGCTTTTATGAATACTTTTTATGTTTATGGTTGCAACTTATTATTTTCAATATCGATTATTCTGTTTATTTTTAAGATCTTATGAGCATATGTAGATTGAATTATTCACCTCTTAAACTTTGAATTGTATATATAATATCAGCAGGCAATTATCACCTTTTATTAGCTTGTCCCAGATTAGGGTTGCAACAGTATAAGATTTTCACGGTACAATAACCTCAATCTCAGAAAATATTGCAGTTTCACAGTGTCACGGTGTTTCAGAATTTATGATATTAGCAGTCAAAATTACCCTTAAATGAATTAAATCACAAGGGTTACTGTTGGTTAAACAACCATTTTATTACTTTAACTTAAACTTGAAACCATTTTATTAATGGAAGTATGTGTAAAAAGCAGAGATGGGACCAAGTCACACATGTGACGTGTCTCAAGTAAGTCTCAAGTCTTAACCTTCAAGTCTCAAGTAAGTCCCAAGTCATTTTTTCTTGGGCACGTCAAGTCAAGTCACAGGTTATGTCAAGTCAAGTCCAAGTCAAGTCACCTTATTATTGTAATTTTACCTGCAGAATCTGATCTTAATAAAGTGAAAAGACAAGATATAAGTAACTGTCAGTAAACATTGACTTCATCGCTGCAATGATGAAGTCAATGATGAACCGGTCGGAATGTTCGCTCACGTTTTCTGGGGTTAATGTTAGCAAATAAATTAAAAAACAAGTTCCACCAAACCGACACACCCCCCCACCCCACCCCCGTATCGTATCAAGCTAACGTTAGCTAACTACCGACTAACCAGATAATAATAGCTAATTGACAAGCACTAACTGGGCAGAATGGCTCTTCAAATGATGAGCAAAGTTTGAAGTTGTTGCCTGGCTGTCCGAGATGTTTATGCCGCATGTCTTGCACTGTGCTGTTCGTCTTTTGCCGTAATAATGGTAATTCTGAAAGCCGAAGAGCGCTTAGACACACAGAGCCAGATTGGCGAGTTGATCCGAGGCGCCCAATTTTCCACCTCGTAGGGTAGTCATATGGCGGAACCCTTTTACTTTAAACAGACCGAGGTGGCCTTCTGCAACGGGAGGGGCTGTTGAAGACTTGTGGGAGGAGCTGCTGATGACGCCACATGTGCGACCCACTGGCGGTGGATAAACAGGAAACAGCTGATAGCAGGAATTAGCGAGCAGCTAGTAGCAAGAGAGAAACACAAACCTAACAGACACTGTAAAGGTGAACAACTGGGGAGACAAGGAATTGCGCGCCCTCCTTGTCCTCGCAAACGAAGAGGCCATTAACCGTCAGATGACAGGAACGGTGAAGAACGGGCCGACTTACGAGAGAATCGCCGAAGGACTGACCAGCCGCGGCTTCCCTCCCACGTCACTGTTTACGTCACACGCTGAGCTACGCGTTTTGTTACTTGCTCACGACCCCCATTGCCCTGAAAAAGGCACATTCTGTATAAACAAAAGTAGGTAGGCGGCATTTTGCTGCACTCCCCAATTTTACTTTTATACTGCCAATGCTGAAAAAAGACTGATTGGGCTTTCCTGCAAATTTGCACAATTCCTGTTTAAAAAGGGCTTATGTTTAATATAATACTGGCATTTATTGTAACGAAGTGATGATCTTTTTTATATGTTCTGGAACTTCCTGCAAAAGCTGCATTTGATGTATATTTGGCATCATTGAGTGTTTTTGGTTTTGTTTGTTTTGCAAAGATGGAGACTAATGTTCTTTCATTTTATAGTCACGTTTACCTGCATCCTTTGACGTTAAGCTCTTAAGTGTCCTGCTTACATCACCAAATGTGAGAGATTATTATAAAAAGAATCATATGTACAGTGTTTCAGGAACATGACCTTTGCATAGACAGATGGAAAGGGGAAATAAGTGAAGACACAATGTGTTGCAAAAAGAACAGAAACTGTGGCTATTCATGTTAACAGTGCATGAGCTGACTCTTGTGACAGTTTCTGTATGAAATAGGGTTATCACAGGTCATTGAAATCCTTGAAAGTCTGTGAATATGAGGGAGAAAATCAAGACTTTGAAAGTTTTTTAAATCAAATGTAAAAAATTTTTACAAACTTGACATGTTTGTGAGTCACTTGTGGTTCATTCAGAATGGACCCAAAATCCACTTTTGGACCCTGATCCATCAGTTTGGAACCACTGTTTTAAACTATGGAGAGTTGGGTCTTTGAATTGGGAATTAGGCCTGGAAAGTCCTTGAATTTGATGTTTGAAGATGGATCTCTTACCTTTCTGTTTTCTCTTTCTGTCTCATTCTCTCCCTCAGACTGAGCAACGGGACGACAGAGGTTCCCCACCTTCCTCCTCCTCCTCATGTCTCTGCTCGGGGCACTTGACTCTGCCTGTGACCTTTGGCCTCCCCCTCCCATCCCGCCGGCGACCTCTGACCTCTTCACCCAGACTGAGAAGCCGCTCCCTTCTGGATGCAGAAAACAACAACAACATAACAACAGATGACAAAAACGCTTGCAGTTTTTTATAAGTGTATTTCATCTTTTAATTTTTTTTGTGTTTTATATGCATATCTTGTCCTGTTTTTTTTGTTTTCATTTCCCCCCCCTCTCTCACAATCGATGCTGCCAGTGTGCGCTGCTTTTTTTCAACAGACATCGGTCAGTGAACTTTGGTTGAGGGGGGTGTCGGCAGAACCCAAGGTAGTCTTATTATCAGATGGTTCTGCTTCTCCGTACGGTATTAAAAAGGGAGGCTGGAAATACTAAGCAAAGGCATTATGGTACAAACTTGGAAACTTTTATGTTGAATTTCAAACGTTAATTTTTATTTTTAATTATTTTTTTTACCCCATGCATAACCCTTCCTCAGTACGGTACCATACAGTTATTACATTGTGGACAAAGTCATAGTAGAGAATGTATTTTTTTTCCTAATGAATTACCCCTTAAATGGTACGAGCTCATGGCTGGATCCATTTTAGCCTCAGAGGCGACAAGTGGCATTGCACACGTACCGTGCTTGTTCCCGTGCTTTTACCAGTCGGGTGTGGCACAGTGTCAGCACCCTTTTTGGATCGCTATTTAAAAATTCAAACTGGGGAAACAGAGCTATGGTACAGTGCGAGTATGGGTTTATCAGAGTGTACTGATACAATGGGAAACCTTAAAAGCATTATTCACATATTACTATTTATTTGTTGCGATAGGTACACATATTCCAGTACATTTCTTTGTTTGCTTTCAAGACAGCAATGGTACTCAATAGGGCGGGGGATAAACACCAGTCACCAGTCCAGTGCTGGAAAGTTTAGTCTTTGTCTCCTCTCCAAGCTACTTTGCAGATAATTGATGTGTTTAAAGGGATAGTTCAACATTTTGGGAAATGCGATATTTCAGTTTTGCTGCCTTCACATGGACGGTACACGGCACAAGGACAGTACCTTCTTATGGAGACAGATTTGAGTCAATAGAAACACTACACAAATACAAAAAGATTTGGCAAAAAATATAAATATTTAAACTTAAAACGGCAATGCCGTCTACTGCTACTGTTGCCAATATTTTCAACCAGTCTCACCTAACTTTATCATCCTGCTATCCTCCAGTAAAATGATATCTTATGTGTGCCGTCTACTGTCTGCCTGATTTCATGTGAACGCACCACTGTCTGTTAAATATGAAGCATACTGTTTTATCTTTGCATAAAGACCATAAGCCAGGGTTAGCATGTTAATGTCCAAAACTCAAATGTACCGACCAGTACCTCTGAAGCTAATGGAATAGTATGATATATCCTGTTTGTTTAACCTGTTTAACCCAATGTAAAAATGATTATTTACTGTATTATGGGCAGGACTATTTCCTGAAGTCTTCCCTCTGTAAAACGGCAAATTACCGCTTTTACATTTGGGTTTGTGTGCAGGTTAAACAAACACGGTCTAACATGTTAATAAGTGAACTTCAGAGGTGCTGGGAGGTGGATTTTGTTACCTTTGCACAGAGTAAGGCTTTAAGTCTTTATGCTAAGCTAAGCCAACTGTCACTACATATTGAACGGTCTAATGTTAGAGTGATATCAATCTTCTCATGTGACGCCAAGCAAATAAGCATCATTCCCAAAATGTTGAAAAAGAAAACATTAGTAAGAAATCAAAGTAGCTTGTAGAGGTTTTGGAAACTCGGCCGCTGTGCCCGACGGATGGAAAAAGACGTTTTCCCGCCCTGCTGCTCGGTCGGCTTGTGTTATCCGAAATTGAAGCAACTGTTAGTATTTATTTATTTTTTTTATTTTTTTCAGTTTTACCTCATACAGTCCGTAGCACAGTTCAGGTTAGTGAGGGAGAGTGGCACCAACACACACACACACACACACACACACACACACACACACACACACACACTCACACTCGCAACGCTGTGAAAGGTAAAAGCACAAAGTACAGACGTTGACACTGGGATGCAAACACTAGCCTAATGCACACACAAACGAAATCTCTGCAAGTGAACTCTATACTGTACGGCAGTGGCATGTATGCACACACACACACACACACACACACACACACACACACACACACACACACAGACATGTCTGTACGTCATGAAGACGCATGTCATGGTCATGTGGCATCTCCACTGCCTGCTCTCATAACACATACAGTAGTCATGCAGCCCTAGAAAGGCGAGGGTAACTCCTGTGTGCTCCCATTTCGGCTCTTTGTCAGCGGCTCTTGGTGACGCACATTAACACACACACATACATATATATATATATATATATATATATATGCATGCTGGAAGCTGGGGGGTTCGTCACTGGCTCTGAGTGACGTAAAGAGGTTTCGAGTAACCGGAGCTCCAGCCCCAGGTGCAGCGTGCTGGTCATACTTGCCCTGCTACAACCTCACACACACACACACACACACACACACACACACACACACACACACACACATTTATGCACACACATATTGGGACAGGCAGTGAACACCCACATCAATCAGTCTTAGCCGGAGCTTGCTGCCTCTTCTCTCTCACACTTCCAACAGACTGAGACGCCCATATTTAGCATTTCTACTCATGCTCCTCTCCCATGACTTTTACCCACACGGCTGTTTTCATAGAAAGAAAATGTGCTTAAATAAAAAACAAAGACTGACAGCTAGCAGAGCCCACTGAATTGCTTTTTTTCTGCTCAGTATTCACTCTTCTAATGCTATCTTCTCCCCGTTTCTGATTTTTTTTTTTCCCTTCAGCCCACTCTTTTTTTGTTGCTTTTAATTTGTTTGGACGGATGAAGGCCTGTCACTCTCGCTGCGCTCGTTGTGTGGGACGCATCACTGTCGTCCTTTTAGGGCCCCACACAGCGGGGATGCTGAGGGACTGAGCTGAGGTATCTTTAAATAATTGTTAATGTCTGGTTTTAGGGAGATTTTCGAGCAGAAGTTTGACTGACTGCAGGGAATGATTTCAAAGTGAAGGTCAGCCAGCCGTGATTGACAGCTTACTCGATGCCCTCTGAACTGCATAGATGCAGCGAACTCTGCACATACGATGCCAGGTGTTCATTGAAACAAAACAAGTGTAAACTTTTTGGACGTTTGACTCATTGGAAAATAAAGTAAAAAGTGTCTCAGATAGATAGCTGCGTGGTGCACATGCTAGGGTCATATACAGTGCAGCATTCTGTATAAATAAATTTTGACAACGAGAAAACAACTTCAAAGACCCTAAGTGTTTTTTAAATGACCTTAAGGTTCATAACTTGTAAAAACAGACTCAGTTTTGTTGCAACAAAAACTGTTTCTGCTCCAATCAGTGGAGGCCCTGAAGCTCTGAAACATATTTTGTTTTAATGAATTGTGCCCTCTGCACAATATCATTTTGTGCATATGAGAATCTTTAATGTTATGGGCACAAGATTAAAGAAATATTCTTGTGATTTTCTACTGCCAGAACTTCAGTCTTTGTTGCCGACTTTACAGATCTGTAAAGGCCAACACATTCTTACTCCAACCTCGTCACATGTCGACGTTTGGTCATGGGCTTTCCACGTCCACATACGATGTGAAAGGTACCCTGGGTGCATTGGTTAATGACGTTCTGGGACACCGTGTAAAGTTCTGCCTGTTGCCGTTTTCACAGGAAATGTAACACTTACAGTCTCTTTCAAAATAAATGCACTACATCGGTACAACATCGCAAATTGACGTTTCTTTTCCATCAACAACAAAAGCACGTGGTTAGGTTTAGGAAAAAAGAACAGGGTTTGGCTTTAGAATCTTACGGGACACAAACACCACTCTCTCGGGTGAAAGTCGGTGTTTGTTGGACCGGCCTGTCCCAGTCGGGACCTAACCTTTGTCCTTGTTCAGCTGCGTTTCCCTCTGATGGCGCCGTTAAACTATAAAGGCAACGGGCCATGTGCTGACGTTAAAAGACGCCTTTTTTCATTGGTTTCTGACACCATAAGTCACTGTCTAAGTGCCGGATTTCAATGACTTTGGCGTGAGACCAGCCTCGTGAAATGCAATCACTTAAGTAACTCTTATTGAATGCAAAAGTCGTAGCATGTGCACAAACGAAGCTTTCTAAAAGATAATTTTAAAACAGTGCATCAGTGTCCAAGAACCTAATGTGATTTCTGATATCTTGTCCCAAACCCAAAGATATTCAGTTAATGATATAAAATGTTAATTGTTTTGCTTCGTTTGAATCACCAGATAGGTGGAGTTTACTGCATTATGGCAATCCAGAGTGTGTCAGGCATTTCAGCAAATTCAAGACTGACTTTCTAGTATTCACCAAAATTTTCCATGTCATAGTCCAAGAACAAAATCCCACCTGTGAGGTACACCACTTAAACTGAATTTCTGAATATCTTCACCCCTTCCCTTCGTCCCATGTCCCTTTTTTCAAATGGCAGCAACAACAGAGCCAAAAATGTTAAAAAACAAACAAACTGTGAGGCTCAAAATGTGGTCAAAACAATCCACGTCGGTACAGAAACCGCAGAGCTTTTGAGCACTTTTACCCTTCGTCGCCCTCTGGAGGGTCGGGATAATTAAGCTAACCTTCCCCTTCTACAGATCCATGTTTTTAATGGTCTGGTTTCAAAGTGAAAACCCACAAAATGCTGTTTAAAGATTTTCAAGCCTGTGACATGTCTTATATGTACATTTTGAACAATTTGAGATATTGACCCTTCATCTCCCTTGAACAAACGAAGACTATTATAAGAATATTTAGGCTGCGGTGGCCCGAGACAAACGAGAACATTTTTTGTTTCTGTTTTGGAAAATGTTTTGTGTTCTTACTATGCTACAGCGACGTGTTGCTTTTGAGTTTTTTACCGCTATGGCAAAAAAAAAAATGTTAGAGCTAGATTCGGGGGGGATTTTTGGAAGAATCCCTCTTAATTTATTTGAAGCGTTATTCAAAAACAGATAAATGTCTTTCATGTCTGATTTGCCTTTATGTTGAATTTTACCCCCGTTTAACCCTGTAATGACTGAATGAATTTACACAGAATCTGTGTTTATCTTGGCAACAATTCAACCTCAAAACTGTCCTCAACGTTACCGATTCTGATGTTGAAAATCAGCTGTTATGATTTTTTTCTTGTTAGGGGTGTGAGAAATGAGAAGACCTACGTAATATATATAAATATATATATATAAAATTATATATAATCCTTGCAGAGAAGACTTAGGGTACTGCATCATTATGCAAACTTTTGTTTCCTTTTTCCTCTAATCTTGGTTCATTTTGTATTCTAGTTTACAGAGGGAAAATAATCATCTTATTTTTGGTTGTTTTGTTGTATCGGGGCGACCTTGTTTCTCTGAAAACAAAGTGACACAAGGGTAGTATTTTTTTTTAAGAGTACATAGGCATTTTGCAGTTATTTGTATAAAGAAATGGGTTACAACCTCTGCCTAATGTTTATTTTTTTGTAACTATATTACAGTTTATTTGCTGCTGTGTAGTACAGTTAACAGTTGGAAATGCTGTCGATGGCAACCATGACAATGAAGACGATGTTCATTGCCCTGCTATCAGGCGCGGGTTCCCTTCGAAACTTCGGAGGATTTCGGAGGAGGAGGGGGGGAGCAAATCCCACTCTACCCTGCTACCTGTGTTCTTAGTTTCCGAGTTGAATGCTGTTGTTTATTAGCTTTACAGGAAAGAGAAAGAGTTAAAAAAAAAATACTGTGGAGGTGTGTATCCTTCGTATGTGCATTATTTTTCAGCGACGTACGTCCTATATACGAAAAAGAAGAAAAAAAGAATTAAAAAAAGAGAAACCTGGTGGAAATGGAAATCCTCCTTCTGTAAATAAGGAAAAACTCAAGTTGTCGCTTTTTTCATGTTATAATCGGCGCCTCGGCAGGTGCCCCCCCTTTTTTTGTTTTTGTTTTACTTCCTTCTCTCTTTCTTTCTCTCTTGTTTTTCCTCGTGGAGGGAAAGGGGGGTAGGAGGGGTACTCAGAGGCGATTTGAGCATCGGCATAGTGTTTATATTTATCAAAACTTTTTTGCTTTCGATAGAGCTATTGCAATAAAAATGTGTTCATGTAACTGCTGTGGTCTCAGCTGTCTTTCTGTTGCATGTGTGATGCATCATCCTGGCGAGTACACAACCACAGGTGGAAAGTAACTAAGTACAGAGCGTAGCAACTTCAAAAGCAATTTAGCAGAGTGACTGACTATTCCTCACATTTATTTAATGTTTTAAGATCTAAAATGTGCAAATACATTTTTTGGCTCTTTCATATATCTTTCATATATTCATTCATATACTGTTTTTATTTATGCCATATACAAAAAATATATTTTGAAAAGCTGATTTTCTGTCCCATCAGTCAATATTAGCTGTCTGATTATTTTAGTTTGTAGCCAGCACAGGAAACCAAAGTGTGTCGTCCCTCCTTGGGGCAGTCGGGACAGTTACCCAGGTGTGGTTGGGGCAGTGTTGTTCATATTTCCTACTTTGTTACATATGTACAAAAGTAGACAAAAACAAGACAAAGACCCACTGTTAAGTCACTGAGTGAATGTTTACAGCATGAACTTCTCATTTTAAGCCTTGGGCATAATTTAAATGTGCAGAGTTCAACTATTGGACTTTTTTTTTTAACTTGGAAGCTGATGGTACTGATTTTTTCTCTCAAAATGAAACAAACTGAATAGCCCATATGAACCTATAACTGATATGTAGCCTGTGGTGTCCACATTGAGGCGAAAGGTGCCAGTCCGAGGACAAAGCCAACTACCATATCTTAGTAATATAGGAAAATATAATAATTCTACAATTGTTTTCCTTTTTGTCACTGAAATGAATATGAATAACTTACAGGGTAATCGAGGAATGGACACATAATTTGTGGTAGCCAACAACCCTGTTTTATACATTCAAAGAACTGGTATTACAAAAATGAACTGCTTGGCAACCAGACCAGGTGTCTAATTGAGACAGACCTTTATTTGTCAAAATGTGTAGCCACACTGGGCTAGCAAAAGGGACTGGGCTTTTAATTGGGATTAGGCTTTTAATTTAAGTTTTACAGTATATTGTTAGCAGACACCTGTATCTCTTCAGGGGTCAACTTAATTTCATTACAATTCTAGTAGTTTGTAGCCCCTTTTACACTGCCAGATTTTCTGTGAATGTTGGGCCGTTTTGCCGGCAAGTTGCGAGTGCTTAGACACACAGAAACGGATTGATGAGTTGATCCAGGGTGCCCAATTTTGCGCCTTGTAGGTTAGTCATACTGGCGGAACCTTTTTGGTTTAAAAAGACTGAGGCAGCCTTCCGCCACGGAAGGGGCTGTTTAAGACTTGTGGGAGGAGCTGTTGATGATGCCGTACGTGCGACCCACTGGCGGTGGATAAACAGGAAACAGCTGATAGCAGGAATTAGCAAGCAGCTAGTAGCAAGAGGGAAATGCAAACCTGACAGACGCTGTAAAGATGAGCAACTGGGGAGACAAAGAATTGCGCGCCCTCCTTGTCCTCGCAAATGAAGAGGCCATTAACCGTCAGATGACGGGACGGGTGAAGAATGGGACAATTTACGAGAGAATTGCCGAAGGACTGACCAGCCGCGGCTTCCCTCCCACGTCACTGTTTATGTCACATGCTGAGCTACGCGTTTTGTTACT